AACACTTTCAACGAACGTTGCGCTACCGCTCTAAAAAAATTTTTTTTTCTATGTCCGATCTATCTGTGTAAAGTCGTATTTCTTATAAATACAGCTGAAGAATCAAACAAGAGATTTGGTTCACCTTCACTGAAGTACACTTTGAACACTTTGCACGTGTATCTTTTTCGAAATTAAGAATTATAAACGTAGAAAAGTTTGCAGAGAAGAGAAAACTGAGAAAGAAGCGAAATTAAGAAGAACGAAGTCTGCAAGGGTTCGGACAGAGAGCAGCCTGAACGATCATCGACGAAGTAGGGAAACAATTGACCGTAAAAAAAATAGAAGGGGAGGAGAAGAAGGGTGAAAGGAGAGAAAAAGGAAATGTAAGCGACGTCGCGGTTCGTGCCGATTGCGGGTGCACGCAAAAGAACAAAAAAGCCTTTCTGCCACCACCGAAGGGTGGACCTGCTTGATTCTTCAAATCAAGCAGTCTAAGCGCGTGTCGCGATATGTGTGCACGCTTCTGCGGTGTTGTGCGCGATGTGCGTGACGTGGGTGGACAGGTTAACGCGCACCGGGGATTTCTGTGTCCCTGTGAAACGCTTAGCGAGATTGCACCCGACAATACAACAATACAACGTGCATGACACGCCCGACGGGGATTTCGTTGGGTGAAGAGAGGAGGCAGAGCAGCCAAGCAGCAGCAGCAGCAGCAGCAGCAGCAGGAGGTGGAGGAGGAAGAGCAGAAACCAGCAAGAGAAACACGAGGGAACAGAAGGGGTGGATTTCGAGCAGACACTGAAATCTCGCCAATTCTAGAGGGATGCCTCGCCACACCCCTGGCCTGTCTCTCTATCTGCCACGTGTGTGTGTGTGTGTGTGTGTGTGTGTGTGTGTGTGTCTGCGCGTGGAAATGCGTGAGGGGCCACCGTTTTCATCCCGCGAGACTCCTATCTTTACGTGGATACACGATTTTCACTCCTGTTTCCTTTCCCCCTTTTCCGCGCTGATCTCGCGTGATCTCTTGCTTCTTCGAAATTTCTTTTTCTTTCCACAATGGGGAGTTTGAAGTTTCTAAAATTTGATTAATCCAATGAAATTGAAGAGGATGGCGTTCAAGAAACAAGCGATGATTACAACAACAGTCGCGTATGATTCGAGCTTTTTGTCGAATCTTTTTAGGGGTGGAAATAACGACGAGACAGTGGAGATTCGGCTACAGGGCGGCCATTGACGATCTACAAACTGGATGGACAATGAGTTAGCCCCGATTTCGAAGCAAAGTGGCAAGCTGCCGGCACAAAAAAGTGCTCCCGTGTGTGGAAGCAAATGCTGCGCGATCCTCACCCTTCGATGGGACGCGCGTTTAAGTATGTTCCTTCGTGTATCCGTCCATATGTATCTAACTCATGAAATAACGCACAATGCTGGTATTATGATGCTCCGGAGATGCACAAGTGCACGGCCTCTTGAGTTTGTGCCGAAGATTTTGTATCTATATTATCGCGAGGGTTGAAATGGCTAATCTAATGGGGACCATGAAAAGACCCTCGATCTTTTGTTACCGACTCGCCGAACGAGATTCACAGCCGATCGTATTTATCCTACATACATTGCACGCGCATAGCTTTTCTTCCCGTATACGAAGAATCAAAGACATTGGGGGAACAGAATAATTTCCTTTCACGGGAAGAAGAGAAAATTTGTGTTCCCGTTGTTTCTTTCTTACATCGGAGGCAGACAATTTCGGCGAAGGAGTATGACCCACTTCTTCGCCATTAAAAAATCAATATTACGTCGTTCGAAGAACGAGTCGCTATACGTCAAAGCGAGATCAAACTTTTTCAATCTCGATTAATTCCGGCGCGGTGGTATTGCCGTGACAGGACGATTGTTCGCTGTTAAAGAGTGCGGAAAACTGCGGTTGAGTGACACGAGCGCTTGAAATTTGAAAAAAAAAATCGAGAGTGGAAGTGGGAAAGAGGAGAGGAGAAGAGCATGAAGGAGAGAAAGAAAGAGAGAGATGGAGAGGAGTGCGGGGGGGGGGGCAGGGCTCTATGAAAATAAATAGAACGCGATCTCCTGGCGTGACAGGTACCCACCATCGTTTCATGCATGTACCGCCGCCGCGGCAATTGGTCTTTGTCACAGACTCTTCTGCGATCACAGAAATTTGGAAAATAAATTCTCCATCTCGATGAAAACACTCGATATCGGCGAGTCAAAGAGAACGAGCCGAAAATTGCACCGAACAATATAGTTTCCCTAGCGGATTTCCAAAGAGAAAAAACGTTCGCCGCGCGTTTCAAGCAACGCGACAAGTTTGACAAATTTTATAACGAACGAGTGTTTCACTTATTTCGCGACGTCACGCTGTTTCTGTCGTACCTTCCCTATTCTATTTCTCTCGATATCGTCAGGAAATACGCGAAGTACGCTCGTTTTTTTTTTTTTTTTTTTTTTTTTTTTTTTTT